AACTGATACAACTCCACATTATCTGGATTCTTCCACCACTTCTCCCACTCAGTTGTGTAGCATGAGGTGATTGATACATATCCAATAGGAGTATCATACCATACATAGAAAACCTAATTACCAATCAATGAATAATGTCATGAATCCAGGATCATAGGTAACATTTGTTGTTAACTTCAAATTAAATTGACACAACAAAATTGATAGCTCGATGTGGATCAATAATCCCAGAGTTACAAGTTACAATCAATTGTTTTCACTCAACCAACCTTATCCTTGTATTTTTCATGTGGTACTGGAACTCCCCATTTCAAATCTCTAGTTATACACCTTGGATTAAGTCCATCTTTAAACCACGCATCTGTTATATGGATAGCATTCTGACTCCATCCCCCGGACGTGTCGTTGATATATGCTTCTAACTGATCCTTCAACAAAGGGAGCTCAAGAAACAAATGATCTGTATCTCGGATACAAGGAGTGTTGCAACAAACCTGTTGAGTGAGCAAGCTAAGATTTAAGCAGTTTGTAAAACTTTCTACCACATCCAATGTACACTTAGTCCACAACATGAATTAGTATAACTTTTAACACACATATACCCCCAATCCAATATATGAACAAGATTATGCGTAATATTTGTGCTTTCAATCCTTCATACATTCAATTATATCACAAGACATTGAATCCTTTACAAATTTTGTGATTGGGCTCAAACAAAAAATTAAGTATCTCACCGAAGGAATCTGCATTTATTTTCAAGAAACTAACATTTGATTAACTAACATGAAACTTTTAAAAATAAAACTAAGTAAGGAATACACATCTAACTGAAAATGAGAGGACAAGCGAACCTTGCATCTTGGCTCTATTAGTTCTGTGGGATTTAATAGTTTCCTACACTCATCGCATTGATCTCCTCGTGCAGAATCATAGTTGCAACCTGGACAGTTTCCCTCTACAAGTCTATCTGCTAAGAACCTTTTGCAGGTGTCGCAGTAAAGCTGCTTAAGAGAAGGAACTTCAGTTGGGAAAATGCTGACTAAGCTCCAGCTGTGGTTCTTGCAACTATAGTTGAAGAAGCATTTGAAAGCTAAATCAAAATGTCTAGCTACATAGGCGAGATGAGCTGATTGCCAGGGAAACAATTTCTTCTTCTTTTTTAGGAGAGATGATTGACAGGAAGATGCACCCCTAAGTGTGGCCTAGTGGTCAATGAAGTGGTTAAGAACCATGAGGTGTCAGGTTCAAATCCTAGCAAAGGCAAAAACACTAAGTGATTTCTTCCCATCTCTCCTAGCCTTAGTGGATAGAGTTACTTGTTACATGTCGCTGGTGGGAGGTGGCAGATATCACGTGGAATTAGTCGAGGAGCGCGCAGCTGGCCTAGACACCACAATTATAAAAAAAATGATTGCCAGGTAGATAGATCGAAATAGAATATGATACCTGCTGCATTCTATTCTCAGAAGGGAATCATTTTCCCAGAGCTTCTTGAAAATTGCTTGACAAATTTCTGTCTGTTGTGGTGTTGATGTGCGTCCAAATTCATCAAAGCTTATATCAAACCATTTATAAACTTCTTTGTGAATTGCATGATATCTGCAAGCCAATAAGAGGAGAAAGAAATTGTGAAATAGGGTTGGCTTCATGCTATCAACTGTATAAAGTAAAAGGATAAATTAAAGAAGCCATATAGAAAGTTACAATTAAAGAGGAAAAATACATTCTTTTTTTTAAAACGGACCAAAACGGAAAGTACCACAAACAAATTGAAAGAACTAAGTACTGATTACACTAGTTTTAATACATGAATAATTCACTTCCTAACCACAACCAACCCTCCCTTTCAATTTGTTTGTCTCGTTTTGACTACATAAAACGTATCACCTATTATTCAATCACAAATTAGAAAGAAAAAAAAAAAAAAAAAAAAAAAAAAAAACCTTGAATTTTGTGATCTTAAACTAAAGATACATAGAATGTACTGAATGTCTGGTCTTAAACATGTCACATGGAAAGTTAGAATTAAAGTATTGTCAAAAAAGAAACGAGACTATCTTTTCGAAACTAACCAAAAAGGAAAGTATAACAAACAAATTGAAACAAAGGAAGTACTAGTTATGCTAGTTTTAATACACGAATAATTCACTTCCTCAACACCAACCAAACAACCCTCCAATACTCAAAAGTATCATAAAGATAGTAGTAGTAATACATTCAGAGGTGTACGCAGAGGGGGTCACCGGGTTCACATGAACCCATGCTTCCCTCCTAAAATCATATATAGTAGTGTTATATTTTTTCAATTTTTGTTAAATATAGATGTGTGAACTCAAAATCGAAGTATCATATACTGCGATGATGGTTGAGTGCACCTTTCAGTAAGATTAGAAATTTGACATTTTATATCTATCTTGTATTATTTTTCTTTCTAAAATTGGGTAACACCTCTCTAAGTGTTATTGGTAGCACTTTTGGCGTTTTAATTAATTAAGAATTTTAATTTTGGACCTATAATTTTAACATTTTATCATTTCAATTATATGAACCTAAATATCAAACTGATTCGATCCACCTTTTCATAATAGTGCACCCATCGTACCGAAATTCTGGTTACTCCTCTGAATACATTTATACATTCTCCTCCATACCAAACACACCCAAATTCCATACCAACACAAAGATCAAAATAAGTTAGCTTACTTGTCGCAAATTTCCTTTGGATGACAATTTTCCTCCAAAGCTTTAGTCTCAGTTGCCGTCCCATACTCATCTGTACCACACATATATATTGCATTGTATCCTCTAATCCTACAGTACCTCGCAAACACATCCGCACTCAACACACCTACAAAACACAACAACAACAAAAAAAACTTCAGAAAATCATCCAAATCCAAAAATTCCAAAAAAAAATTAAAAATCGTACATACATCCGATGATGTTGCCAAGATGAGGAACGTTGTTGACGTAAGGCAAAGCACTAGTAATTAGGATGTTTCTTTTGCCTTCGATTGGAACTTTCGGAGTCGCCTTACGATCATCGCCCATTTTTGATAGATTTGCTAGGATTTAAAAGAGGTTTTTTCCAGCCGATTGCAGCTGATGAAGGCGACGAAGTGTAAAGAGAGAAAGAGAATGTTAAAAGTGTGTGTAGTGTAATAATATGATTTATGGTACTATATATCATAAATAAATATAGAATATGTACTAAATTGGGTATTCTAGGAAGAATAACAGAAAATATGGGAAATTCAATGTTTAAAATGTGAGGGAATCCTTTATGAACATGTGTTTATTGTGCTACAACCCTTCAGAAATGTCACAATTCATCAAAAAAGTCACAACTCTTTAGAAAAGTCACAACCATTCCGAAAAGTCACATTTTTTTGGAAAAGTCACAACCCTTCTGAAAAGTCGCAACCTATTGAAAATATTACAACTCGTCGTGGAATAGTCACAACCCTATACTTAGCTAAAGAATATATAATCAATAGGTCATCAAATTGAGTATCTTATACTTAGCTTGCACATGTACAAACATAATATATAAAGGAAGTGATAATTGACTAATTTATGAAAAATCATTCAATATTGAGAATCCAATTATATCAAAGAACAAATATCATAATTAAAAAATATGTAGAAAATAAAATGCATTAAAGAGTAAGAATTTTACAATCTTTTAAATTCTTAATATATATGTGACACTATCAAATTTCTAATATTAGGATATTAGAAAATGATCATTCATAATCGTAATGAGTTCATGGATTACCGCGGGTAAGTTGTCTAGTTAGGTGTTATTTAGCAAGATGGGACAGTAATTTTGAGATAAAATGTATCATTATTTTTTATGATATTTAGTTACAAATATCAATTAATTTTGAAATTATTTATTTCATCACTTGTAGTTTGTACTATAATGATGGATCAACTATCTCGTATATATGATGGGACAACTAAGTACATGCGATCTCCATACCAAAGAACTCCTAAGGGAATGAGGTTTTTTATAGGAAAGTATAAGGGGTCGTTTGGTTTGATGACAAGTTTGGCTAGGATTAGGTTATGTTGGATTAGTCGTATTGGAATCATCTATTCTAATTAACTCTTTCATCTTAATTTATGTTACTATTTGATTCGACATAAATTTAAGAAAGACTTATGTTAGCTTAGATTAGTTATATTGGAATCGGTTATTCTAGTTAACCATTATGTCTCATTTTACGTGGCATCATTTGACTTGACATAAATTTAAAAAACATTTATACTAGATTAGTTAAAGACTTGAAATTCGTGGATTATTTTTTTTGCACAAATATATATATATATATATATAAAAGTGTTACATAAGTTTTTTTTTTCGTTCCATATTAGTCGTAGTTATCCATATTACTATAAATAGTTATTCCAAATTACTTGACAATTTAGCAAACAAAGAAAGAATTAATTAATATTTTCTCAATTTAACCCTTATAATTAATTCTTTTTTGAAAGTGTAAACCAGTTTGTAAAATTTTAAAAAAAAATCTTAAGAGATAAATTAGTTAAACTAACTGTCTAGTTTATGATTTCCTAAAACGCTTATAAAGGAAAAAAGAGATAACTAATATGAAACTGAGGGAGTAATGATTTAACATGTTAGATGATTCGTTAATACAATGATTAAACAATAAAAGCTTTTGAATAAACATATGTCATGCATCTATTAATTTATCGTAAATAAATTTATATGGAGAGAAGAAGAGGCTAAGAGTAAAATATGGAGTGATGTTTGTTGAAAACTGAAAAGTAACTTTGAAACCACTGAAAATCAAGAACATATAATTTTAGGAAAATCAACAATGCACTGTTCATTTGTAAAAAAAATAATCTGATTAATGTCTAGGAAACAGTGCATATTTTTATGTTTGTCAAAAAGCCATGCAGATGTAAATACAAACTTCTTCTTGAAATAATTTTCGAAAAATAAAAAAGTTTGAAGAATATTTGCAATGGCAACTTCTTCGAATCCAAGAAAAACAGATCCGAACCGTCCACCACAGGCGGTGAAATTCTCACGACGCACGTCCAGTGGACGTGTGGTGAGTTTATCCCGGGACGATGATTTGGATGTCCCGGGAGATAATCAAAATGATTACATAAATTATACAGTTATGATGCCCCCGACCCCTGATAATCAACCAGGGGCCGGGGATGCTAGTGGTGACAAGCCAGATGGTCCTGGACCATATGGCTCGTCAAGATTCAGGACAGAGTCCCAAAGGCGAATGGGTAGTCGTGGAGGTGAAGATGATGATGGTGGTGCAAGAGGGGAAAATGCCTCGGGTTTGGATCGTAGGGTGTCTGTATTGAAATCAAATAATAATAAATCAATGTTACTAAGGAGCCAAACTCAAGATTTTGATCATAATCGTTGGCTTTTCGAGACTAAAGGAAAATATGGTATTGGAAATGCATTTTGGCAACAAGATGAAGATTCATATGATCATGATACTGGAATGAGTATGTCTGATTTTATGGATAAACCATGGAAACCACTTACAAGAAAAAGTAAAGTCCCTCCTGAGATCATTAGCCCCTACAGGTTCGAAATACCTTATATATTTCTTCGTACATCACATTCATGCATTTATAGTTTATGAGACGGTATTGATACTCTTCAAAGTAGGGGCAGAGTCAGGTAGGATCGAGGGGTTCATCAGAACTCAGAACCTCCTTTGTATGTATAATAGATGTTGAATATCTTTTAACTTTTGACTTCTTAGTGTGTTTACTTCTTCATATTTTGAACCTTTTAGTGAAACTCCTGGCTCCACTCACTGGTTGAAAGCATATACTATCTTTGTGTTTTAATAAATCACACATTTTTGTTCAATTTTCAGATTGCTTATTCTTATCCGGTTAGTGGTGTTAATTTTCTTCTTGACGTGGCGTATAACTAATCCAAATCCAGATGCAATGTGGCTATGGGGAGTATCGATAGTATGTGAATTATGGTTTGCATTTTCATGGCTTCTTGATATCCTTCCGAAATTCAACCCTATAAACAGATCAGCTGATTTAGCTGCACTTAAAGAAAAATTCGAAACACCGTCTCCTTCTAATCCTCATGGTAGATCTGATCTACCAGGAGTTGATGTGTTCATTTCTACAGCTGATCCTGATAAAGAGCCTCCTCTTGTCACGGCTAATACTATACTTTCGATTCTTGCTGTCGAATATCCTGTTGAGAAAGTATCTGTTTACATCTCTGATGATGGTGGTGCTATCTATAACTTTGAAGCCATGGCTGAGGCTGTGATCTTTGGTCAGGTTAGTTTGTCTTCATTTGTCTATCACAATTTCGATTGGATTTAAGTTATATACACCGAGGGTGTGAAGATCTTTTAGACTATCGGTGTAGTTAGACAGTTAGTTACTGTCTTATCATGTTATCAATTTTAGACTAACGGTGTATTAGTACTAATGCTAGCATTTTGTATTGTTCACTAAAGCTTTGGGTGCCATTTTGTCGAAAACATAACATTGAGCCAAGAAATCCAGACAGTTACTTCAGTCAGAAGACAGATCCAACGAAAAACAAGAAACGCCCTGATTTTGTGAAGGATCGACGTTGGATCAAGAGGGAGTATGATGAATTCAAGGTTAGGATCAATGGTCTACCAGATGTCATACGCAAAAGATGTGAGATGCATAACTCGAAAGAAGAAAAAAAGGAAAAGGCACTTGCTAAGGAGAACAATGGAGGGAGTGTTCCTGAAGATTTCAAGTTTCAAAAGGCAACTTGGATGGCTGATGGCACACATTGGCCTGGCACATGGTATGAGCCTATTGCTGATCATAAAAAAGGAGACCATGCTGGGATATTGCAAGTACAGTAATTTTTATCATGAACTTGTTTATTGAAATATTTGTTTGGCTTAATACATAAACAACACTCAAACTTGATTTCAACTGACAACTAAACAGTCCAACTCGTCCCTAATGAGTCTCGTGTACTTTCAATACTAACGTGGCACATAAAGTTGGAGTTGTCAACTGACGTAGTGGAGACGAGTTGAGGTGTTTAGATGTGTATGCTCAAAGTTGGAGTGCTTATTTGCTAGTTGAGGCCTAGTTTGAGTGTGTTTATGTATTACGCCTATTTGTTTTCCAAGTTACTTTTTTGACATATAGTACTTATGTTATCCTTGTAGATAATGAGCAAGGTGCCGGTAAATGATCCAATAATGGGAGGTCCCAATGAGAAGCAATTAGACTTCACCGGTATTGACATCCGACTTCCCATGTTTGCATATGTCTCTCGTGAGAAGCGTCCAGGTTATGATCATAACAAGAAGGCAGGAGCTATGAATGCTTTGGTAAGAGCTTCTGCAATTCTTTCAAATGGACCGTTCATACTCAACTTGGATTGTGATCATTACGTCTACAACTCCATGGCCATTCAAGAGGGTATGTGTTACATGATGGACCGTGGTGGTGATCGTATTTGCTACCTACAATTCCCTCAAAGATTTGAAGGAATTGATCCATCTGATAGATATGCTAATCATAACACTGTGTTTTTTGATGGTAAGAAATGTCTAACTTTCCAAGTATCACAATGTGTTTTATAAGCATTAAAATCCTAACTTTGAAATATATGTTATGATAACAGGAAATATGAGAGCTTTGGATGGTCTACAAGGTCCTGTATACGTCGGGACTGGATGTATGTTCAGGCGCTATGCACTCTACGGATTCCACCCACCTCGAGCTAATGAGTACACCGGCTTCCTTGGACAAAACAAGAAACAAGCTAAAAATGTTGCTTTGCCTTCAGAACTAGACGACGATTCACAACCTTTAACAGGACATCCTGACTTGGACTTGCCAAAGCAATTTGGAAATTCTACAATGTTTGTTGAGTCAATTGCAGTGGCTGAGTTTCAAGGCCGACCTCTAGCCGATCACATCACTGTTAAAAATGGAAGGCCACCTGGTGCCTTGCTCATCCCGCGTCCTCCTCTAGATGCACCAACTGTAGCTGAGGCAATTGCAGTCATCTCTTGCTGGTACTTCAAAAAACTCTTTATACAATTCTGCTCCCTCCGTTTCAATCTGTTTGTCTTACTACATTTAGGATTTTTATCAACTTGTTAGCTATACATTTCCACTTACTAATGTGTTTATGATTGAAAGGTTTGAGGACAAAACAGAATGGGGAGATAGAATAGGATGGATTTATGGATCAGTGACAGAGGATGTGGTGACAGGATACAGAATGCACAATCGTGGATGGCGATCTGTCTACTGCATTACAAAACGAGATGCATTCCGTGGGACTGCACCTATCAACCTGACTGATCGTTTACACCAGGTTCTCCGTTGGGCAACTGGTTCAGTCGAGATCTTCTACTCTCGTAACAATCCCATCCTTGCCAGCCCTCGCCTCAAGTTCTTACAACGCATTGCCTACTTCAACGTTGGTGTCTATCCTTTCACCTCAATATTCCTTGTTGTCTACTGTTTCATCCCAGCCTTCTGTCTCTTCACTGGCCAATTCATTGTACAAAACCTCAACGTCTACTTTCTTTCGTACCTCTTACTTATCACTGTCACTCTTGTCCTCATTTCCCTCCTTGAAGTCAAATGGTCTGGTATAGGCCTTGAGGAACTATGGCGTAATGAACAATTTTGGCTCATCGGTGGCACGAGTGCTCACTTTGCTGCTGTTATACAAGGCCTCTTGAAAGTTATAGCTGGTGTTGAGATTTCATTCACATTGACATCTAAGTCTACTGGTGAAGATGAAGATGACATATATGCTGATTTATATGTAGTCAAATGGACAAGTCTTTTTATACTTCCATTGACAATTATGGTTGTTAACATAATGGCACTTGTTATTGGCATATCAAGAACAGTATATAGTATAATACCACAATGGAACAGGCTATTTGGTGGTGTGTTTTTTAGCTTTTGGGTATTGTCACATTTATATCCATTTGCTAAAGGATTGATGGGAAGAAAAGGAAGAGTCTCAACAATTATATATATATGGTCAGGCCTTATTGCTATTACTGTTTCTTTGCTTTGGATTACTCTTCAAAATAATGTTGAAGGAGGTGGCAACTTTAATATCTAGAATCAAAGGTACGAAGAATGAACAACAATAGAACAAAGACGAATTTTATTGTGTCATGTCTTTAGGGGGTAACTTTTTTTTTTTTTTGGTTTTCTTTTGATTGTGTGATGGGGCAAAAGATCATGAATTTTCATGATTGTAATTTTATTTTATTTTTTTGATACTATTACAAGAAAGTTATTAAGTATATCAATTAGATGAAGTGTTGTAGGGTTCCCATATTTTGTTAATGTAAAGGAGGAAAGTTGATAGCTAAAATGGTATTTATTTATCAATAAAGAAAAAAATAAGGAGAATTACACATACTTCTCCCCTATCCTCTTTTTTTTTTTGTTATCCATCCCAAGACCGATTAAATCTGAATTTATGCATTACAAGTCTATATCTGGAGATGATGCTCCCAATATGATATTTTTTTCATTTTCAGGGACTCGAACCTCCTTAATTAAGGGTGGAGGGATCTCAACAACTGAACTACAACCCATGTTGGTAATTCCTCAATCCTTTATATATGATGTCAAGTGTAACATAGTTTATTTGTTCATATTTTGTGTAACAAAACTATAATGTAATCTATAGACGGGCAAGTTTGTCCCATATGTATTAATTATATGGACTTAACGTTACTCAAATTGGAGCGTACATGTCATATGCTCTAAGGTTGTTGTATATATATTCGAAATCAAAGCTCATTTATGTCTGTTATTTGGTCATTTTTATGTGGTGGCAACATATCTAGACTTGATAATAACAATCAATCTCTATATATTTAGTCCTTTAATTAAAAATTAAATTTGAAACAATGTGAAAGAGTAGCCTTGTCATTTGTTTGAATTCAACATATTTTAGCTTTTGGAGAAATTGCGCCTCAACCAAATAAGTTCACAATTAGCAAAGAGTCATAGCTCAATATTTTATTTTTGTGCGACATTTGTCTTCATAACAATCATTTTTGTCTTTGCATAGTCACAATAAGCATAAATTTATGGAAAAACTATATAATTAGACATAATTCACTACTCTATATATTATTATTACTTATACTTTTAAAATATTATGTATCTTACCACTAATTAAGAGTTTCCTACCATATATTAAAAAAATACACTTAGGTACATATATTTTTGCTACCAGATGCACTAAAATAGGGAGAGAGGTGAGCCAGATGGGGAGGGAGGTGAGCGACATTTTGTTATATATCTCAAATACATGCGAATCACACCAGATACACAGTAGATACATGTATTTGTATGTATCTGGTGTGATTCGCATGTATCTGGGATACCAAATACATAGGAGAGTGGTGAGCGAGATGAGAGAGAGTTGAGGAAGGCAAGCGAGATCTGTTATGTATCTCAGATACATGTGAATCCACTTGGATACAATGTATTTAGAATAAATTTGACCACGTATCTTGAGATATATATATATATATATATATGAATGTATCTGGACGTACCAAAATATGATAAAATACATAATATTGAAAGTAGAGTGTATCTAAGTAATTAACTCTTAATTTAGTAGGATTTATGTAAGTTTTCCCAAATTTATTTGAGAAAAGAATAGTTGTACCCAAAATGAGAAATTATTTATAAGTGGCTACCCATTTACTTTCATACCCCTTGTTTTTAACAATAATTCGTGTTTATTGCTTGATACCATCAAAGTATATATATATATGCATCAAGGATGAAGAAACAATGGTTTAGTGAATAAAACAAGGAGGCACTCACATAAATAATTTAAGTTGTGAGTCCAATCAGAGTAAATAGTTTAGGTTGGGTCTAAGTTGGATAAATACTTTTCCTAATGGATCTAATTGGTATAATTTCCCCAATTTATTTTGCTTTTACAAGCTAGTCGCTATTTATTAATTCAGATATCAGATATAGCCACTTAATCTAGTGTTGGGCTAATTTATCAATATTGGTTCAGACTCATTCATAACATTCGCCTGACCCCCTTAAGTTTGAGTTGATTGTGGACTCACTTCTTTATTTGCTCAACGCATTAAAAATGGATTGATATACAACTTAAATTGACCCATGATAAATTAAATCTTATCAAAATATTCCCAATTTTAAAAAAAAAAAATTGATATGCTATAAATTTCCATAATAAAGAAAAACATAATTTTATTAGATACTAAGAAATTATAAAATAACAAACAAAGAAATTAAAATTTAATAGTAAGCGATTCCTTAGGTAATGACCTGCATTTTAATTAATCGATTTCAATTCAAATCTATTTATTTTATAGACTCATCCCATTTTAACATATCCAAATTTAACCATAACACTTCCATTTCACACATGGAGAATGTAACTTCAATTAATCACAATCTCCAAAGAATTAAATTGTTTAATCATAAACAAATATCCTAAACAAAACAAAAAGAGCATTGCAACACACTTAAATCATGATGAAGTTTTCAAAATTCCATATTTAATTTATGTAGGTTCTATGAATTCGAACTTTTTTTTCGTATTATTTATCTCATTCACTAATTACTTGATTTAGAAAAGGAAAAAAAATTAAAACACACATATACAAACATGCATTTATTCATTTTTGCGTCAAAAACTAAAATACACCTTGAATTAAAAGATATTAATGAATAATGAGGTTAGTAGTAAAAGCAAATGGAAGAGGTATTTTAGGAAATTAAATAATTTATAAAAATGATGAATGAATTAGTAGGATTTAATAAAAAAAATTCCCAATTTATTTTATATCCTTGATTCTATGGATGTATAGATTAGGAAATAACTTGATTAATTAATCATTAGTTTGCATCATTTACCAAAATCAAGTAATTGCAATGGCTATATATTTTGGACAATTTCATACATATTTTTCACTATCTTTTGAGTTTTGAATATTAAATCATATCTTTCATGGCTACTACAAAATTCTCCTTTTTATCAATTTTGCTACTTTGCTTAATTTTCTTTTCTTTGTTGGCTCTCCATCAATGTATGTTCACATTCATTTTTATACTTTTAAATTATTATGAATTGTTAATATATAGAATTTTATCGATCTTATATGTTTTTTTATGAAATGCAGGTGATGAACATATAGGTGTCGAGGTAAAAGATCTCAATCCATGCTTCAGGGCTTTTGAACCATCAGATCTATGGTGTTGCAAATTGGTTGAACCAAATAAATGTTATTCTTCTCAAAAAGCATGTCATGATAATTGTCACTAATGATAAATTTTCAATAATAATAATAATAATGTTTTATTAGGGGAAACATGATGTGTTTTCTCACTTATAAGTTTTATGTTGTGAGCTTTGTTGATGTGAAAATAAATAAAGAAGTTGATTCATTAATAAAGTTCAATTTCAATTATCAATATGTATTTTAAATTCATATATCTAGATCATATTTATCTTATATATTTTGTTTATTTGAATTCAAGAATCCTATATATTTAATGTGAATTTTATATATATACCCGTATTGTGCATGAGCCATTAACATTAATTTTTTTATTGCAATTGGTTAACATGTTTTATCCTCAATTACTTATTTCAAATCATTTTCAAGATTTATGATTATATATTAATTAATATGATTATTGTTATAAAATACTCATATTAATCATAATTTAAGAGACATACAAAATTTAAAATGGACCAATAAAAATGAATGAAATAAACTGCAAATATAAATGGAGCCCATAATTTCAAGTAAAATGACTATATTCAAGTGGGCCACTTCTCACTTTTTAGCATATCAAGATTATTTTTTTCTTCATGTTTTGTCCTTGACAATATTTTACTTATTTCAAATCATTTTTAAGATTTATCATAATTTAAGATTATTGTTAATATCAATTGATATGATTATTGTTATAGAATATTCATATTAATCACAATTTAAGAGGCATATAAATTTAAAGTAGATAAATAAAAACGAACAAAATAAATTACAAATCTACGCGGAGCTCACAATTACAAGTAAAATAACAATATTCACGTGTGCCCCATATATATATAGTGTGTACATTAAATCATATATGCATGTTAATTTACTGTTTTTTTAAAATATAAATTATTATTTTTTTAATTAAAGGATACTTCTTTTTTCTTGTTATCTTATTTATTTGAGAATTTGCTTCGTTTTGATTATTCGATCCCAACATCATTCAAATTAAAGCTGAAATACATGCTTAATCAAATGAAATAGAAATAAAAAAGGAATCTATAGAAGTACAAAAAAAACTATTCTCCTCAAATTTATGGCACTTTATTAAGTAACAACAAAAATAATTTATTGTGCCATGGGAGTAAAACTAATTTAGAAAAAGGGAAATCTATTTTCACAATGGACTTTCCAACTTTGTCTCAAACTCCAACTGATTTCAAGGACTCAATTTTTCTTGGCCTGCCATAAATAAATAAATAAACAAATTTTATCATTTTAAAGGAGTGGAAAGGAATGACGGACTAAAATATATACATCAATAAAATCTGACGAGAACAAAATATATGCAGATTTTATCTTTACCTTAGGTATACCAGGTTGTTTGGACCAAAATAGATAATGTAGTAAAAATGTACCTAGCTAGTACTAAACTTGTTAAATTTCTTATTGAAAAATTCATTAATAATAAGAATAATGAGCACCTACATAGCATTTATGTATTGTTAAACATGTCATCGTACGTAGTCGAGTGTCTTTTAGAATCAGTTTTTCTACCTAAGAAAGTGGCCGGAAAGATATGTGTACATTCTATCCTTTCCCCAGACCCCGCTTTTGGGACTATACTGGGTTGTTATTTTTGTACGTAGCCCAATATACAATATTATATCCGGGGGGATCATTATATATATAGTTTTATGTGTATCTTACACTTAGATATATGTATTTTTGCTACTAGATACACAAAAAATAGGGAGACAAGCGAGATTCGTATGTATCTGGGATACATACGAAGCACACTTGATACACACTAGATACATGTATCTATATGCATCTGGAGTGATTCGTATGTATCTGGAATACCAGATACATGAGATGTGGCAAGCGAGATGAGAGAGAGGCAAGAGAGGCGAACGAGATTTGCTATGTATCAAAGATACATGCGAATCTACTTGGATGCAATGTATCTAGAACAAATTACACCTATATTTGACCTCATGTATCCACGATACATTTATCTGAACGAATTTGGAGACTGGAGACACCAAAATCTGGTAAAATATGTAATATTGCAAACTAGAGTGTATCTAAGTAATTAACTCATAAACTAGTGAGATAAAGATTTATGTAAGTTCCTATATATATAATGTATCAACCTCATATAAAGTGTATAAAAGATGTTTATACGCAAATACGAGTTAATTTTTGTGTCTAAACATAAAGTATCGACTACATACATAGCGTAAATATTTTCAAAAATAGACATAAAACGTAATTTTTGCGAAAAGGTAAAGAGTAATTAACTATACCTTGTGTAAGGGTCAATGTCATATTGAGAATTAATAGGCTCTTGAATTCTTCCAAATTTCCTCAAGACAGATTTGTCAATATACTTAGTACCAGAACTAGCCATTGCATCTGGGAAATCAACTTCAGCAAGATTTTCTCTCTTTTTTTTGGTGACAAAAACTCCAGGACCATGAAATAATTGTTGTTTCATTGTGAAAATGCATAGTCCTATTGCCACTGCTAATGTTCCACCCAATACATACACTGGTGCCATATCCCCATTAGTCATTGACAACCTTTCAAATGATCAAATATCGAGTTTAAGTTTTATGTACTGACAATATAGTTTCATAATCAGGTCAGTTATATAGTGTAGACAACTTAGATCATTATTTATATGTATAACACATAAATGTACCTTTTAACTTGGCCTGATCATCTGCTGACATCTACGCCCTCCAACTTAATTTGGAGGTGCATAAGTAGGCATTTTAACTTGTAGAAAATTGGACAAATATATATATACACACATGCATTCTACGTGGCATGCTACATGAAAAATTGTGTCCTACGTGGAGCCCTACATGTATTATGTCACATATACAAGTTTAAGTGTCTACTTGTTGCACACCTAAAATTGGAGGACATAGATGTAAGTTGAAAATAAGGTAAATGACATATTTATGTATTTATGTCATATTTATAACTAGAAGAAGTATTTACACAATCATGTTCACCTAAAAGATATCTACAGGTAAGAATCCTTAAAATGTGAGATTTGTAATCTTGGAAATAAGACATGTTATCTGTTACAAATGTAAAGATGATTTGATGATGTAAAGTGAATTGATATATATTACTATGTCAAGATAAAGAGTAAATGTTACTCATTAAAATGGCATGGATCAAAAACCTGTTTGACAAATCGTATGAATTTTTTAAAAGTTATTTACTCAAATGATATTTTTTTTATAGGCATTTCTCTTCGGAATATGAAATTTATAATCTTAAAAATAAGTTAAAAGAGACGAACTTCTTAGGATTGACATGAGTAGAACCACCAGCAGAGGAAAATCTTGGAGCAGTAGAAGAAGCAAACGATCGATTCGCCGCGAAGGCATTCGTCATGGATTTCAAATACCTCTGTCGTAACAATGAAGACAATAATAAATACAAAAGTTAACGTCAATATTTAAAAATAATAAATTAAAAAAATTCTATGTTGGTAACCAAAACACAATTGGGATCAGAGAATATTATGGCAATATTATAAGATCTCAATTGAACAAATAACTCGATCTGATCTTTTAATAGATATTGAGATTATAGATTGAAAATAAAAAACCTAGCAATTCAAACTATATGATCAATATAAAAATAAAACGATTTTTGTGTTGATTATGAAATAACAATTAGATCAAAGAAATGTGATTACATTATAAGGTCTCAATTCATTAAAAATGACTCGATTTGATCTTTCAAATAGATATCACAAATTTAATTGAAACTTTAAAAATCTAGTGATTCCAACTATAAGACATACTCATAATTATAACTCGATTTTAATTATCTTAAAAAACAAAAACAAAAAGAATAGTAATGATTTTTTTCCCCTTACCATTCTGAACGCCATTGTCACAAGGATGGAATGTGGAAGAAATTGTTTCATACACAGAAAAAGAAAATCACTTTTTTTTTATTAATTATATTGTACATATAAAGGGAGAAAAGGAGGATGAGATTTATTTTATATTTAAATAAATTTTTAATTTAATTTTTATTTATTTATTTGGGTGGTTAATAAGTTCCTAAAAGAATGGAACATGAGACAGGTAAGTTTAAGTACTCTAAATGTATGGAAAATTTATGGGATTTAAGGAAGGAAGTTATCCTTTTTCTTCTTTAAAATCGTTTATTTATGTAATCTGAGTACACATCTAAATATTAAGTAGTTAAGACGGATTATTTTAACATTTGAATGCATAAAACTTGTTTTTATTTAAAAATTAATAAATAAAAAACAAAATTAATCTAATACATATCAAAAGAATATTTTTTAAAAATTATATGATGATGGCTAGTGATGATGGCTAGCGATAATAGTTGTAGGTGGTGATGCTGCATGCTAATAGCGGTGTTATGTGTGGCAGTAATGGTTGATGGTAGAAGTTGATTAGTTGTGGTGGATGATAGTGTAGAGATAATGGTGATGGTTTGCAATATGAGATGATTGTCGATACTCGATAGTGATTAATAATCGTTGTGGTAATGGTAATTAATGGTGATAATTTTAAATGGTGGCTAATAGTGATGAGAGTTGATTGTAGTGATTGACATCGATGACAGTTGTGGGTGAGGATGATGGTTATGGGTGGAAGGATAGTGATAGTTGATAATAACCAGCAGCAACGACAAAAGTTGATAATGGTGGAAGTGTTAGGTTTTCTTTGCCCGGATTGTCATACCATATTTTAAGTTTTATTTTTTTCTTAAAGGAAAGTCAAAGTATTACCATAAATGCTTTAACTTTTCCTGAAAAGAAAAATATAATTTTCTTCCATATTTGGTTATTCTTTCGTTAGAGGAAATATTTAGAACTCTATAAATTGAAAGACTCATCTTTTCATATCAACAACACAATAGCATCCACAATGAAGTTGTTTAAACAGTTTTGTTTAGGGGGAGATTTTCTCTCAACATGTTTATGTTTTAGGTCTCTTGGCCAAACAATAATAATAATATTATGTTTTTAGCATAATTTTTTGTAGGAGAAATATACCCACTAGGATTTTATCGACCTCCGTTTTGGGGTTGGGTTTTGATAGATTGGATTTTTTGGATTAATTTTGATAATTTTCAAAAAGTGCAAGAGTCCTATCAAATTCTGTCACTATAGGTACATCACAAGTAATAGTGATGGAAAGAAAAAGTGATGTGGCTTTGTCGCGATTATAAGTATCATATTTAGTTTAAAAAGTCTAGCTTAGATGTAGAAGCACTACATCTTTGATGCAGTCATCAGTTCTCTTGAGGGATCACAATCGCCACTAACAAATGAAACCTAACAATACATATCCTCCGTTTATATTTTCTAAATACACTCCACACTACACAATCAATCATTCATCTTCAAAGGATAATGCTTTTAGTAAATAACCAAATATAACATACTCGAGCTAAATGTCAAGTTGATAAGTTTTCTTACATCTTTCTCTCCCAGATCCTGATATCATATACACGTGCCTATAGAATAACAAAAGTGAATAGGGCTAGGGAGAATAGTTGCCCTAGTTCCTTTTAATCAAAGAGACAATAACATTTGTGAATGTGGTCTTCTCTATAGTCATGAAATTGACATAGATCTCCCTACACTTGTGGAACACTTGATCTATCAATATTTCATTATCACCAAAATGGCTAACAAGCAAAGGCTCAGTGAAAGCTCTCACACATTGTGCCATATTTTCATCAAAATCATCTTTATGGAGTTCACAAGTTTTCAAGATATCAATGGTGAAAGATCCCTCCTTATCAACTATATACATTACTTCTCTAAGAGATGGATAGTATGCAGGAATGTTGAATGTGTACACTTTCTCTTCTTCTATTGATCCCTGCATCCATTCAAACACTGTCACATACTAAAATAAAACGAATGATATGTTATATTGTATCTTACAAGTTTAAGTTTCTACCTCTACAACCAACTCTCTAAGAGCCCTCGCCATAGGCTCTAATAGGTAGCATGCTCCTTTACTAAAGCGGTCTTCATTTTTTTTGCCCAATATGGTTAATATCATACATCCACCATCTGCCAATTCTTTCGAGCGATACTTTAGAAAATTTACAAAATCTCTTTCATATTGCTCATAATACGCTTTAACCACACTTGGCGGACTTGTACTTGCCACATAAATATTTCCTTTGTTACTTTCTATTCCATCAGGTACCTATCAAAGGCGAATTCAAATCTAAAATCAACTATTCAAAATAAGACGTATATGATATTATTAGATAATATATAGTTCGAACTAAAAGCAAAATATGTTAAATTGAATATATATAGAACCTATCATAAATTCATATGTTAGGGAGTGTGTTGATTGAAGACATATAATTTAGCTAGCATTTGTATCTTTTGGATTAGATTTTGAAGTTTTATTTTCAAATATTTGTTTGACCATGAAATTTTATCAAATTTTGAAAATTTATCTTCAAAAACTCAAATTTTCAAGTTTTGACTTCATAATCTATAGTCAAACGGTAGATCATAAGTAAATAAAAATACGTTATCTCTAGCAAATCATACTTGAGAAAGCCAGTGGAGACTATAAGAGGAGTGAACAAAATGCAAAGTCTTAGAAGGAAAAAGTCTAGTATAAAATGAACCAGCAACTCCTGTCACAAATAATCCATCTCCTCCCATATTTTGTTTCCTCAAATCTTCATAGAACGTTGGCAACGATCGAAAAATGGAGTTAAAATCATTGCTAGGAAGATCATTGAGGAAAACATGAATTTCCGGGGATTGTTGTTGGCTATTGCTTTTGCATTCTTCATGAATAGTTTGAATGAGTTGAGAGATTGTCAAGAAAGTGTTCGGTCCAGAGGAACAACCTAAATCCGCAATACGTATAGTTTCTCCTGGGGAAAGGTTGTTGTAGAGAGTAGATATAACTTTATTTGTTATTGACTTTGTCATGAGAATCACCTTTTGCTATATTTTTCCACGAAAAACAGACATGAGATAAGAAATTCAGTGTTTCACTAAAATTTCAAATAACGATAAGCAAAAAGGTGTGTGATGATATATACCTGAAGTAAAGAGTTTTTTGCATAGCTAGAGTTTCTGATTCCTCCATTCATGTGAAGAACTTTAGTAACTTCCATTTCTATGTATCAATCAATTACTTCTGGCTTAAAATAATCTCATAAAATATCTTATATCGTTGTTTATTTCATCTCACAAATAAAGCAGACCCAATATATTTAGTACTAGTAAGGATATTGTGTCCAATAAAATGTAATCCATGTTAGGGGTAAATTTGTGGTAGTAAATTAGAGTCCAGAGCCAAAAGGGCAAAAAAAATTGCCAAAAATTTCAAAAGGGCACATCATATTTTTTTAAAACCAAAAGGGCAAAATCGCTCCTACTAGAGCGATTTTCCCCTGACACATATTAATGCCGTTTACTCCTTTAAAAATAAAATCGTTGCCAGGGCAGCGATTTTTGTCAAATTTTTTTTTCTTTATTTTTCACTAAAATAGCTGGCACAGCAGCGATTTTTTAACTCTAACTTTTTTTCCTCCAACTAATATCGCTGCTATGGCAGCGTTTTCATAGAAAAAAAAAATTTGGCAGCTTTTTTGGAAAATCGCTGCCTTGCTAGCGTTGTCCGTAAAAAAAAACAATTATTTTTGAAAAATCTTTTCTTAATTTTTTTTTTAAGTTTTATGAAAGAACAATTATTTTTAAAAATAATTGCTGACACGGAGCCTGATTCCACCCAAAATTTTGGACTCGACGTAGAAATCATCAAAATGAGGCACGAACTTAAATCGGTGTCGAATTAGACTGCCTTTTCAGCGATTTCTGTTAAAAAAATTATTTTTTAATAAAAAATGCAGCCTTGTTTTCAAAACGAAAAAAAATAATTAAGAAAAACGATTTTAAAAAAAATAAAAATTGAAGAGAAACGAATTTTAAAAAAAAAATTTAACTAAAAAGCTGCCAAGGCAGCAATTTTGGTGGAACTAGTTTTTTTTTAACAAAATATCGCTGCCAAGGCAGCGATTTTGGTAGAAATATTATTTTATTTTATTTATTTTTTGAAATTTCTGTCAACTAGTCAAATTAACGCCACAAATTTTATAATAACGCTGCAACAACAACAATTTTAAAAAGAAAATCAAAAGAATATTTCTACCAAAATCGCTGCCTTGGCAGCGATTTTTTTATTTTAAAAAAAACTAGTTTCTCCAAAATCGCTGCCAAGGCAGCGATTTCAAAATATATATATATTTTTTATAAAAAGCTGCCAAATGGCTGAAAATTGCTGCCTTGGCAGCTTTTTAGTTAAATTTTTTTTCTTTTTTTTTTAATTCGTTTCTCTTCAAATTTTATTTTTTTTTAAAATCATTTTCTTAATTTTTTTTTTCGTTTTGAAAACAAGGCAGCGTTTTTATTAAAAAATATTTTTTTTAACAAAAATCGCTGAAAAGACAGCCTACTTCGACACCGATTAAAGTTCGTGCCTCATTTTGATGATTTCTACGTCGAGTCCAAAATTTTGGATGGAATCAGACTCCCTGTCAGCAATTTTTTTAAAATATAATTGTTCTTTTATAAAACTTAAAAAAAAAAATTAAGAAAAGATTTTTTTTTTAAGGAAAACGCTGCCAAGGCAACGATTTTCCAAAAAAGCTGTCAAATTTTTTTTTCCTATGAAAACGCTGCCATAGCAGCGATATTAGTTGGAGGAAAAAAAATTAGAGTTAAAAAAATCGCTGTTGTGCCAGCGATTTTAGTGAAAAGAAAAGAAAAAAAAAATTTGGACAAAAATCGTTGTCTTGGCAGCGATTTTATTTCTAACGGAGTAAACGACGTTAATATGTGTCAGAGAAAAATCGCTCCGGCAGGAGCGATTTTGCCCTTTTGGTTTTAAAAAAATATGATATGCCCTTTTGGAATTTTTGACAATTTTTTTTACCCTTTTGGCTCCGGACTCTAGTAAATTAGACCGTACTAGACTTTATTTTCGTGTGGGCTAAGGTTAAAGTTATCCATTAATCCTAATTATACTTTATCCGTTCAGTTTTATTTATCCATGATTTTCTTGACACAATACTTCTTAAGAAATAATATAAAATGGTAATTTTATTTTATCATTCTTATTTACTATAAGTGTCATCTCACGCATTGATCAGAGATGCATAATTTTTAGGAGTATTAAAGATAAATTATATGTATAAACTATAAAATAATAAATTAGCTTTTGGTTTTTCAAACCGGACAATCTATTTTTAATTAAGCGGACAAGTAAAAGTGGACAAAATGAGTAACTATCTGTGGGCTAAAAGATGTAGCTAAAAACACACTTCCTCTTTCTCAGCTTATATGACATACTTTTTTTTTAATTCAAAAAGAATATAATAAAAATAATTTTTAACTTTTTTTTTATCATTAATAAAATGATTTGTCACTACATAAATACCTAAGTTTTATTTTAGACCACATATTTAATTTCAAAATTCTTCATTTTTTTTTGTTAAATTTTGTGTCAAGTCAAACAGTATCATATAATAAAACAGGGAGAACGTATAAAAAAATCAAAGATTGTACCGTGAAAAATATCCACATGTTTGTTTATGACTCGAGTGGGAGCCAATTAATATAATTCGTCCCAATATATACTTCTTATTAACAAAATATAGAAACGTATCATTCAGTTAGATTATCTCCTCTTAATTAAACAACTTATCTTTTAGCTAGATTTTAGAAACTTTGCAATGGACAAAAAATTATATCAAGAAAGACAATAGATTAAAGGGGAAATGAACTTTTATTACACACAATATGCATTACAAAGTTCAATTGAAAACAAAACAAATGCATGATACACCAAATATAAGAAATTTAAGATTATTCCATAGATAATCAATTTAATTAATAACCCCCTTAATATATATACTAAGTAGACACACTATGGAGCACAACAGTCTCAACTGTAAGCCCAGGCCCAAATCCAAAAAGTACACCCCAATCAAGACCTTCACCTGTGGTACTAAGCCCTTCTTTGGATGAGGCCTTTCTCATTTCATCTAAAATAAATAGAACACAAGCACTAGACATATTTCCATAGTCACTTAAAACTTGCCTAGTAGCCCGAAGTTTTTCGGGCTTTAGGCCCAATTTTAGTTCAACTTGGTCAAGAATTGCCGGCCCACCAGGGTGAGCGATCCAAAAGATAGAATTCCAATCAGAAATGCCTATTGGTTGGAATGCTTCAATCAAACTCTTTTCAATGTTTTTTGAGATCAATCCAGGAACATCTTTGAGTAAGTGAAATGTTAGCCCAACTTCGCGAAGGTGACCATCAATAGCACCTTCGCTATCAGGGAGTAGAGTTTGGGCTGCAGAGACAACCTCAAACAAAGGCCTTTCGACTTCTGGTAATGGATCTGAACCTATAATCATTGCGGCTGCCCCATCACCAAAAAGGGCTTGTCCAACCATACTATCCAAGTGAGTATCACTTGGGCCACGAAAAGTAACTGCAGTGATCTCTGAGCAAACAACAAGGACTCGAGCACCCTTGTTGTTTTCAGCTAAATCCTTTGCCAGTCGGATAACAGTCCCACCAGCAAAGCAACCTTGTTGGTACATCATGAGTCGCTTGACTGAAGGTCGAAGACCAAGAAGCTTAGTGAGTTGGTAGTCAGCCCCAGGCATGTCCACCCCACTAGTGGTGCAAAAGACCACATGGGTGATCTTGGACTTGGGCTGACCCCATTCTTTAATGGCCTTTTGGGCTGCTTCTTTGCCAAGTTTTGGCACTTCAACCACCACTATATCTTGCCTGGCATCAAGTGAAGGAGCCATGTATTCACAAATATTTGGGTTCTCTTTCAGAATTTCTTCTGTTAAGTGCATATATCTCTTATTAATCATTGATTTATCACCTGTATTAAATGAAAAACTTAATCAAAAAAATAATAATAATATTAAAATTTTATCATCAGTTGATTGAGAATATCCCATAAAATTCATCTTTGTTGTATGTTGATACTTAATTAGTTAGAATCAAGGAAAGTATATCACGTGTGATACAATTAATTAGGAACACCATTCAACTATCAATAGCCAGAACATAGTTTTGGTATTACGTAATTATATCTTATTTAAATATAATCTACACTAGAAACACATGTAATTAATCATCAAAACTCCAGTTATATATAATACTATATGATAACAATAATTTAAAAAAAAAAAAACTATATATCTTACACATGCGCTTAAATTTCTCCTTAAGCTCAGTCATATGCTCGCTATTAGTAATTCGAAAATAATAATCAGGATAAGTGCTTTGATCAACACAGTTCGAAGGAGTCGCCGTGCCTATGGCCATGATAGTAGCCGGCCCCTTTGCACGTTGCGCCCTTCGAACCTCCTCTACGGTGACCATTTTCGTGTTTTTTTTTTTACTAAGATTTATGTATATGAAAATACCAAAAATATTATACAAATATTAGCAAGTGAAGAAGAAAAAATGGCTTGTGTTGATGTGTACTTAAGTTTGCATGGAGATTTTGATATTTATAGAAAAAAATTCATAACAAACTGGTAGCTAGTATTCACGTGTTTGAGCAACTTTTTTAGGTCCAACTGGCACATGATATTTCCCCAACTCTCATTTTCCGTAACTGAGCGGGGTTGCTCAGATGATAAATATTCTTCATCTTCGATTTAAGATTGTTGATCAGTTAAATTATTTAACACATCCAAATCCAATAACGAGAAAAATAAAGTTTAAGTTTTATACATCATTAGTATTACATAAATAAGTCGAATGACATATTATATAACAAGTAAAAATGATCTGATCGATGATAAAAAAAATCCTTACGTTAACGATGTGTATAACTTAATAAAATATTTGTTGCACTTATATCGGAAAGCTCTATCTGCCACTAATGCTACCTACTTCTCAAAATAAAACCGTCACACTATTTTTGGTCAATATGTTCATAAAAATCCAATGGATTATTTTAATTTTTTAAATCATTTTTAGACATGATAACAAAAAATCAACGTCACAACAAGAGTACAACACGTATAATATATGTGTTTTAATTAATGTGGTAAGTAAAAAAGTACCTTTAAATTTATATGCTAAACTTGGACATATTAGATATATATACAAGCATGTTCTAATATAGTTA